GTGTTTAGGAGCACAAGCAAGCTCAACACTGATTTAGGGTTTTTTTCAGAGGAACCTGGGGAGATGATGTTTGCTCCCTCTCAGTCACCTGTGCAACACTAAGTTTAATTTTCCTTCTAACAGTTGTATACTTCTCCACTGTCTTGGCTTTATCCATCCAGGAATATTCTCATTCTTTTTTGACCCAGCAATGCAACTGGGCATGTCAGCATTTGTATCACCAAGGAACTGAGGACAATTGTTTCCTTTCATTTTTGAGGAAAAAAGACCAGCAATCTAGTTTGCAGCTGAAAACTAGATGATTTGATTTCCGTTGTTGAAGGAATGACAGGTAGAGACAACTCTATCTTGGGACTCTGGTCACATTATGAAACCACGCCACAGACCAAACTATAATATTGAACCACTGAACCACAAGCCTAGGCTGAAAATAATCAGGACTGCCACATCCAGATGTGTTCGGCTGTCCAGGAGCACAGAAAAGCAGTTGTTGGAGAATCAATCTCTCATTGTCTCCCAGAGCATACAACTAACATAGAATCACAGAATCACAGAATGGTTTGGACCATAAGGAAAGGACCTTAAAGATCATCAAGTTCCAACCCCCTGCCATGGGCAGGGACACCTCCCACTAGACCAGGTTGCTCACAGCCTCAACATCTTCTGAGTTTGTGAAGTCTAGGGAGTTCCGAAAGCTCCAGCTTTGTTACTACTTTCCTGAACTTAAATCAAACTGATATCTGAAAAATACACCAAGAGATGTACACTGCAGTGAGACAGAAAATAACGACACTAGCCCTTTTGAGGAGAAGATAAAAATCAAGAAAAACCAAAGCACCAACTCCGAATACAAATTCCATCCTTTTATAGTGGAGGAGAAAATTCATTCACTAGACACAAAACACAGGCACAGTAACAAGACACACTAACCAAACTCAGTAGCAAAGAACAAGAATGGGGAAAGAATGAAAAGTGTCGCTATGCAGGGTCCTGTGCATTTCAAAACCAAAGCATTTCAAGACTAGTTTGATTATTTCAGTATGGTCAGAAAAGGCTTCCAAATTTCATAAACCACCTGCTTCGTCCCATAACATTTTGACTTCTCACTTTCTTTCTTGGTGGCTCAGGTGCTTATGAATAAACACGGAACCATTTGACTCCCCTCTTCAGTTATTCTGGCTATGATGAACGTGGTTTGGAAGATGATGCATTAGAAGACGAGGCTGAATGTAATTCTTGTTAAATAAAGCAATTCAGAAAAATAGTTTTTCACAAGAAAACACACTCACGCTGCAATCATGTGACTCGTTCATGAAACATAGTATAATCAAAGCCCTGAACGGCATGTCAGGAAATAGATACTATAACCCTCATTCTAGTGCTGATTTTCTGTGTGAATGGGGATGCTAGCTGGTGTCTCATTTTCTCTATCTATGTAATCAGGATAATCGTTCTTTATCTCCAGCTCTATCTCCGGCTATCTTAGGTGACTGGTATGTACTGCCAAATCTTGGGTCTTGGTCTTATGACCCAAGCAACTAGTGAGCAGAAAAACAAATCTCCAGCATTTTAAAAAAATAAAGCTTACAGGTTTAGTTACACAGCTACAAAACATTGCTCGACAAAATTACACAAAACACAAGTTTTAGAAGCAACACAGGTGTGAGCTATTACCACAGTACCTGCCAGCCCTGACTTCTTCTGCTCTGATTTGCTACTGCACTTATTCAGTAAGCTGCCAGCTGGTGCTTCTGTCAGTCCCTGCTGTATGTTTTTACAGGATTCTAGAGTTCACTCAGGTTTTGACATTCCCTGATGTCTTCCTACAGATAACCGCTAACCGTGGGCATTTGTGAAGAGGAACACCTGCAGCAGGGGCATAAGCACAGTTCTGCTACGATGCAATCTATACCATGCCGCTGTGCTGCTAGAACAAACCAATGCATGTTGTCTGACAAATTTTAAAAAAAAGGAAAAAAAGGAAAAAAAAAGAAGTGAGCTGGTAGGCCAAAACACATGTGCACTCTGAGGCAGGGAAAGTGCCCTTATGCACTCAACCACACTGAGGGTTCTTGCAGTCTTTGCAACTTTTTTTTCTCTTACATTGGGCAAAGGAAATCTACACCGATTTCTCCTTCCTGGGGTCTGTACGTTAGTCTGTCATTTTGCAGCACTAATAGAAAGGAAAAAAAAAAAGTGACATTTGCAGCAGAACATAATTCAGAGCACGTTTGTGTGCTGGAGCGAGCTGGACAATACTAAATGCGTTCTCCTCCCTCCCACCAAAAAGAAACCTGTACTGAAAAGCTGAATGTATTTGTACTTCTGTCCAATTTCCCCACTCTCTGGAGGAAGCTAATAAAGACTTGATTTTAATAAAGAAAGTCTTTTAATAATGCAGCGTTTTGGAGTGAAAAATCAAAATGACTCCTGACACTTGCTCCACAGATTAATGCACAGAGCCACCACTTTACATGACATGTCCTGTTCTCGAGTGTTGGACCTGGCCTTCTGAAGATGGGAATTTGTTAACTCCAACGCTGCCTTCCCACTTTCTTTTCCCTGGTTAAATGTACCGGCTTAGGGAAACATCTCAGTATTTCTGTTTATTTGCTTGCATTAGGAAAACAAAGAACAACTCGCCAACCACTCATCAGTTTTAAGCACCACTTCAGCCAGTCAGCTGGAAGTATCGCAGCACAACCACCTTTACCTGAAGTATTTTCCATAGGTTGCAAACAGTCTTAAATGATCAACACTCTGAAGGCAACCATTTGAGTCCCTATTGCAACAGGACAGCGTACAGCTGCTGTATGCAGGGTTACGCCATAACCTAGCTGCTACCTAAATGGCACTAGCCTTCACTAAGGAAGGATCTTTTACTAGCTTTTTATAACAGCCGTAAAAGGGTACGTAGAGAGTCTTGGACTTCCTGTTATACAATAGGAAACCTCATTTATTTGATTTTGTGAAGAAGCTACGTACATTTGCACTGTCCATTTGCAAACTTACACCTCAGTTCAACGGTCTCGTTAGGCTGTCCACTAGCACAAACCAAATGACTCCTACAGTTACTAGATTAAAAAAACCAAAACAACACCTGGGAAAGCTAATCCCTTGCAACATTGTGTCAAATTATTAACAACTTCAACCATATTAATTACCAAGGTGACAGGTTCTGGAACCACTGCAGGCACACTGAGTCCACCAGGCTGCGTCCCCAGGCAGCCGTGCAGAACACTGCGCTTCCGTTCCTTCCACTCACGTGCACATCAGGCGCTGTAGGTACCTCCTGGTACTACTGCTTAGCAGGTTGTCTCCGATTAGCAACCCATCACCGCCACATGTTCTCTGTCACAACACACACACACTTTCCTTTGTACTTAGTATCAGCCAAGGCAAGTCCCACTTTAACAGTTAGTTCCCCAGAGACAGCAACAGCCAGTTTGGAAAAAGGAAAATGGAACGAATGCAGGAGAGGGAACAAAGCAGGGGGAACCCAAAAGGTAAGTGTCCCTTTATACAAAGCGTTTGTCATGATTCAGCTTCGTCCTGCCATTGTGCCAGGCTGCACACGTTTTATTAAGGGTTTGGCCTCTGCAGAAATTGCAGGATGTGTCACTGCGTGTATTGAGAAATGGGACTTTGAACAATTCAGTCACGGCCAGGCAAACACGGCTGGCGCAGAAGTCACTTCCCTACAAGAGAGCTGCGCTCCGATGAAAAACCACTCAAAACCTGAATTTACTTCTAGAAGAAAAAGTTGCAGGAAGAAAGAAAAAAAAAAAGACTAGAAACTCCATCGTTCTGAAGTGACTACATCTGCATTTTTAAGATATTTTCTTTTTCTTTTTGGCTGTACAAGAATTTGATGTCATTAAAGAGGCTTCCTTTGATGCTGTATGCCAAGTAGAATCATTAGTTTCTCACAAAGGTGCGCTCTAAATGTCTAGTTTAAATTTTCATTTTCAGATGATTCATCTGAGAGATGAACAATAACAACCAAAACGAACTTCAGAACTCTAAACAGCAAAAAGCCTTTTAGCCGCACTCACTCATTTATTAACTCCCTCCGACACCTCCTGTCTGGATTCACACGGCAGCCAACACTGAGCCTGAATTCTGCAACTCCTCCTGTGACGTGCGGCCATTAGAGGCAAACCAGAACCAGCTTCCCTCAAACCCCACAAAAGAGATTCTTCTAAAGTCTGTATCCTGCATCCTTCTGGCTGGCACGAGGTCACTTTTTTTTATCCAAGGATGCTTTCCATTGCCACTGCTTCTAGCGTGTATGTGTTGTTTTGTCACAGCTCCTCTTCACAAGTCCTCTGCAGAGGTCATTAGAGGATTAATGAAACCGAGGGACGCTCCAGAGGAAGCCACATCCTCAGCCAGCATAGCTTCAGCTACTCCCCTAGGTTTTGGAGGGAGCAAAAAATAGATTACATTACCTATGGTTCCTCCATTTAAAAGAAAATGTCACTGAAGTACAAAACCAATCAATGGTTTACAGCTGATATATGTTTCACACACATATTAAGCCACTAGAAAGAACAGGCACTATCAGCAGCTTATAGCCTCTTTTGTGATACAGGGTCAATCCTCTGCTGAACAAATAACCATGTTTTCCTCTCCAAGAAAGATGCTTCTTTCAGCCCCTGCTCCATCTCAGAGGGAAAAAATACTGATGTATACGTGGGATCAAGAGGAAGGCTATGTCACTTCTGCCTGGAAGACAGCCTGGACAGTGGAAAACTGATGCAGAGCAGCATTTTGCTGTTGCTGTCCCCTAACACCTGTACAGCTTCTCTGAACACCTGACGGTACTGCTTTGAGGAGACCTCCACGCTCCCCACACACTGACCATCTGCTCAGCCAGCCCGGGTGGGTTGTACGCACACTGGCCAGACCCTGCTACCACGCAGGTCTGTAGCAACAGACACCTGCGCACGCTGCGCTAAGCATGGCCACTCATGCTTCTTGCTAGTGACAATTCTTACCTACTCGCAGCTTCTGGACCGGTCCCCCATCGCCTAGAACGGGCTTTACAAGGCACTTCCATCGTACTCCAAACTGACACCCTTCCCTTCTCTCGACCACTGACTGCAACACTCCGGTTTCATGGCGATAGAACTTTTTTATTTGTAATCTTAGTGGTACTTTATTGACTTTCACGAAGTTACACAACAGTCCTTCATCCCCATGAAGCCGGCTGGGGCCGCCCGGCTGGCCGTGGACCGGGGGAAGCTGCAGGAGGGCAGCCAGCTCTGCCTCTCTGCAGTCCAGCATGCGTTCTTCTCCTCCCCCGGATGTTCTCTTGCAGAAGGGCACAGAAGGAAAATGCTACGACCTGTCCCCAGAAACTGCACCAGGAGGGAAAACATGCAGGGTGGTATCAGAGGAGATGGAAATTTTATAGGCTCTGGCATTCAACAAAATAAAACCACCATCAGTCTATCAAACAGCCAGAGAGAAAGCTTTTTTCCCAACATGTTCTTCAAACCATATATTCATGTTGTCTCACACCACGTCCCTGGACATGGCTCTGTTTCTGGGCTTCTTTATATCCTCATGATGTCTATATATACTTTCCTCAGTGTCTGAAAACCATCTTCATTTCGTGACAAGGATCACGAAAGAAAAAAAATGCAGTTGCTCACTAACACGTTTCAGAAAATTACAAGCTTGTGAAAAGAAAAGGTCTAGCAAAAGCTCTTCCTTCCCCACAATTAGATTAGGTACTACAGCCTTCATTAAAACCCTTTCTTTTGCCTACTCGTTTTGTAGCATTTAATTTCCTGCCTCTCAGTGATTAAACCAGCTGAAAGGTAGTAGATAAAGCAAGTTTGCTTGCTGTTTCACACAGATATATTAATGCTTTACGCTTAAAAAGCTTTCAGACTGTCTTCAGATGCTGATTAACAAACACTGCACATAAAACCATGGCTGAGGTCAGACTGTGGCAGCAGATATGTGACCGAAACTTACTAGGACAGCTCTCCTGCAACGCTGTACGCACAGGATACCTCCATCGCATGCGTTAAAGAAGCTTAAAGTTAAGCTTCACATATTTAAACACTAACAAAGTCTACTTAATGGCAGTCTTCAAAATGACAGTGGCCTCCTAATCTGCTGGAGATAAAGAAGTGCCAAGATTAATGATTACATAAGTGCATCGCAGAGCCCAGAAACAATAATCAGCTCTTCTGTTGTTATTTGTGTACAAAGGCTATTAGAGTCATCTGACATTCCAAAATCCAATTTAAAGTTGTTAAACCCCTTTCATGTACTTATTTGAGGTTGGAAAACTGAGATGTTCAAAAAGGGAAAGGAAGGGTTTGGTTTCCCAATTCTGTTCCCTTACTCATTTTGTTCTAAGCCAAATCTCTCTTTAAGAAATGAAAAAAAAAAAAAAAAAAAAACCAAAAAAAAACCCAACCCCAAAACCCTTTTAAACAATGCCTGGAGTAACCAGTATTGCTATGGAAGGAATAGTACCAATAAAACCTCAACATGCTTAGATACCAAATTTAAAATAACAACTACAAGCAAACCAAGTAACTATTCTATCAGAAAAGACTCCATGGAGTTGAGGGTGTCACGGACACCAGCTGGGCAGCTCTGACAGTAGTGGCCATCTCCAGCAAATCAGCAGGGTGAGAAGCCAGAGGCACCAAACACCCACCTCGGTCTAGTAAAGGACTGGGTGAGAACACACTCTCTGGATTCACAGACGCACAGTACTGTTTGCAAGAGACCAGGCTGCTCTTTGCAAAGTAAGGCAAATGACAGGTCTTGACTGCAGCCTCTCTCAATATCATACAATCGATTCTCTTGCCACAAAAATCCTTTAAAATTCTAAACAACCCTCTTTGTTTCCAACAGAGGACTGAAAAGCAAGTTTAGAAACACAATGAACAAACTGGTCTTCTGCTGGCTCCTACACTGCGCCTTCACCTCCACAGATGACACAGAGAACGCGACAGAAAAAAGACAGCTGTGTCCCTGCCCTCTCCGTCTGATGACCAAGCCGTGCCCCAGCCCCGCCGCACAAGCG